CTTTGGATTAATCTAAATGACCTTTTGAAGATTTTATTGGTATTATAAATATATGTGCTTCTAACAAACATCAAAAAATATATAAAATATGACTTAATTTAGTAGATAAGCTATCTTCTAACACTCTTTATATCATTGGTAGAGATTGGAATATGGAAAAGAATGCCATGTTTTAGTCATAGTCTACAACCTAATAAGTTGTATATAAAAAAGACTATTATTACAAGGTAAAGATAACACTTGAAAACTATTCTTTTTCTTCCTTTCTTTCTTTTTTTTTCTTTTTTTTTTTTTTTTTGTTTTGTTTTGTTTGCTTGTCTTCACCTTTATACATTATTTTTTTTTAAATCTTCTTAAGATATAAAATATAAAATTATTTAAATTTTTATTAGAAATTTGTTTTATTAGTACAAACTGATTATTATGAGATTAAATCTATGAATATTTTTTAAAAAGAAACAATATGGTCTTTACAAAGACATAGATATTTTTTTATACAAAAAATGAGAATTTTATAAGATTTTATAATTATTTTTATAAAGAATAACTTTATTTGAAATCAAAATATAATGTTAAAATTTAATGTCAATTGCAATATGATCATTTACATCTTTAAGTTAATCCTTAAGATTTCAACTCCAATTCAACCAATTTATAGACTAAAAACAAGAAGATAAAAGAATTAGAGCTTTAATTTGGTTAAAAAAATTTGGTGATAGTAATGAAAAGGATTTTGTTTTTAAGTAGTTAAAGTACAATATTTGAAATATTTTTTTACAAAATTATAAAATTTATAAAAGATATGATGAAAAATATTATAAGAACTTAAGAATATTTCTTTCAATTTTTTTTTCATGAATATATATATATATATTAGAAAATATTAAAATAATCCAAAATTTTCTTAAATTGATATACTTATCTAAACCATCATTGCATCCCATGTTCTTAGCTCTACTCTTCACTCTTAACTCCTATTTCAACCTCTTCTCATTGTTCTCAATTATTATCTCTATTCTTAGTCCTTGTCTCAACTCTCTCTCTCTATTTCCAATCCTCGTCCCCTGCCTTAAGTAATTGTTATTGTCATTGTCTCTCTAACTTCTATTTTTGATCTTTGATTCAAATTTCACTTGGAAACACCAACTAAGAATGCAAAACATGTTACCACACTTTGCACTTTAATAAAATTGCTCTATATTATAACTTAATCATAAAAAAACAAGAGCATAAAAAAAGAAAATCATTCAAAGTATGGACCATGCATTGAAGAGTATTTTGTACAAAGGCTCTAAGATATCAAAACTAGTCTCATTAAAGTAATTCTTTAGACTTTGATTAAACAAACCATAATATGATTTCTTTATCTGATATATTTGTCCAAAGTTTCTTATACACAACATTCCAATAATTGCATGATCCTTCTTTGGTCCTCCTTCCCTCAAAGCTTCTTTTAAAGGAACAATATCTTATTCCAAAGAATTTATCATCCACAACATTAAACATTTTTCAATGCCATGTATATTATAATTATAATTATGAACATAATGAATAATGACTATGGTGTTGTTAAAAGCATCATGAATATACACCTTGGGCTCTTCATACAAAATGATAATCATCTAAAGTTTTAAAAATTATAAATAAATACAATGATGTATATTGAATTTTTAATCACAAATCATGTATGTTCTCAATTCAATTATGTGTTTTACAATGAATTTCAAAAAGCTTATCTTCAATTATTTCTCTCAAACCTATGCAATAAAAGTTGATTGATTTCTAAACCGCTCTACAACTTAACATATTTTCAAGCATTATTTAGAATTGGAGGTGCAATTCAATTATAAATATTTTTTTATTTAAGAAATTTTACGTAGCTTTTATACCTAAACATAAGGTCACCCATGAAAAAAACTTTATGAATAATTTTAATATAATATTTACATGTTCCATCTTAAGCTATTTCTTGTATATGCTAATCTTATAACTATAAAAATGCTTGTCTTAAACTAAGTGTTATATGCCAAAGCTACATTATTTCATCTTTTTTTTTTTTTTTTTGTTGGCAATCAAGTCTATCAAAGAACTAATATGATGAAAATATCTTCTTGTTGAAGATTTGATTTTTTTAATTAAAGTTTTTAAAAGGATTTTGATGTCAATAACAACCTCAAGCTGGACTCCTCCCTAATAGAAACAATTGTTTGGAATATGTGTTGTTTCTTTTGAAGAAGACTTGTTAGAGAGATGTCAAAAAGAGTTTTTGACAACGTCAAAGTTCAAAACCTTCTCCAACTCACACTTTCATTTGATGAATTAACATTGTGGTGACCTCAAAGCTTTGATTGGATAAATTTCTAATACTTGCCACCCTTTAGTTTACTAGCATTTACTTTGCATTCACAACCTCTACTTTTAGCCGCCTTCTTCTTGCTATCAAGACCATCTTGCAAGTCTTGCGCATCTTTATAGTAGTAGAATTGGATCAAAAAAATAAAATAAAATAAAAAGGCGAGGGATGATGATAACAATTATTATTCAAGATGGAAGATGGGAGATAAAGGACATAGGATTGAGGATAAGGAGAGAGGATGGAGATTGGAAACAAAGAGGAGAGAACAATGGTTAGGAATAGGAGATGCAATGATGTTTTAGATAAGTAGATCAATTTAGTAAAAGCGTGGATAATTTTAATATTTTTTTATATAATATATATATAGTAATAATATAATAAAAACCAACAAAAGAGAGTAGAATTTTAAAAGGTCTTTTTTTGCCTTTGTAATAGTATTCTATACAAAATTATTAATAAAATAAATAAAAAATTATCTTCTTATTTTTTTATTTCAATAAGTTTAAAGTAACTATTGGTGAAATGGCAAATATATATATATATATATATTTATATATATATATATAGACTTGATAGTCTTGGAATTAAAAAATAAATAAATATTTTGGCATATTGTTAATAAAGATTCTATTGCAATGGTTAATCAAGAATTAGTTAAAGGTTACTTCTTTCAAATTGTTATTAAAAGCCATATTACAAATTTGTATATAGAAGATGATGGAACCAAGTCATAAAATTGGTGTTCTATTATTCTTCTTAATACCTCTTATATAATTTATACTAAGATTATTCAAAATCATCTTCAATTTGTACTAGTCGAAGTAATGCATCGAGACTAAATGATCTTTTTTTTCCTTAGAATATTATTTGAATAATGTGCTAGTCACGTAAAAAACTAGAAGATGGACAAAAAAATTTAATCAGCTACTCTTTCTTTTGAAAATTTATTTTTCAAAAATTTAAAATAAAGTCTCTTGGAAATTCTTATTTCAATCAATAAAAATATTTGGATTTTATGCCCAATTTTTTCATATGATTGAACTAATTTTTGAAGGTGCAAGTACAATAGTAAATTTTAATGATTCATTAAAATGAATTCTAATTAAAAGAGGTAAAAATAAGGATGTCTATTGACTCTTAACCTCTTTATATTAATTGATAAATTTTTCAATATAGTCATTTAAAACTGAGTCAATAAATACAAATTTTATGGCATCAATATTCTATGGAGCTTTGACCAATAAGTCATATGTCAAAACTCTGATAATTCTACTATCACCATGAGAAAAATAGAAAAAAAAAAAAACAAATTTTGATAAAAAAATCATCAAACAATTAAATTTGACCTCTAGCTTAGAAAGTAATTAGACATATTTTCCACATATAAACAATTTAAAAACTGCCAAATCTAAGTGGACTAATGACTTTGGATGGACATGGACTAGTCCAACAATATTAGCTAGTTATTAGGCATTTTTTTCACCTAGTCCTACATATCCAATTTTTTATTAATAGAATGGCAAGTAAGCTTTATTTTTGGTGTTATATTAAAATCAATGTAATTGGTAGGATTATTATAATAAATAGAATCTTACTACCAAATTTTACAACTTTTTGTAGAAATTTAGGTGTATTTTCCAAAAGAAATCTACGAAATAAAAGCTATGGTGAGAAACTTCTTTTCAATAAAAATTCTTTGTGAGCTTAATTCAAAGTAACCTAGTCAATATGTTGAAAGACTTGTGCCAAAGATAGATTTGATATACCTGAACAAGAAGACATCCAAAAGGTCAAATTCTGACATATAATTTTAGAAAGTGTATTCTTTGAAATTACTTGCTTCAAATAGATATTAAATTGTTGAAAGTAGTTGCTGCAACATCTTCATGCGTTTTTTAAGGACAGTAGTTACAATCAGATATTTGGCTGTTTACTGATTCTTACGCCCATGGATTCACTTCCAATTATGTTCGTCTGCATAGTTTGTTCCTAACTGAATTCATTTCACGACAGAAAGGTGATTACAACACAGAACTCCGCATAGAATTAATACAACATATATCTGTACGAATATAACCTGTGAACACCAAGTCATTACAACAGACGTGTATATGCATAAATATATATGTATATATGCGCAGAAACAACATTGCAGTCTACATGAAACATCCAAAAGTAATTCGTATTTACGAAGGCGTCTTACAGAATCGATGACATGATAAGTAGATGTATTCAAGGCATTTCCAGACATTTGAGACAAATGGATACATTAAGATAGACCTACAATGCGCTTTTCTCAATGAGGTCATCAAATATTTCCGTAGAAAATTTTGTTCCGCTGTTGGTACTAATCGACTAAGTATTTAGTTCCAAATCAATACCTCAGCTGACCAATCCCGCCTCCCCACATGCATTCAGTGTCTATGTCTTCTCATGAAAACTGATCCTAGGAGATTGCAACATCGCAATATATGAAACAGTATTTTTGACGTTGAGATGTGAACCAAAAGCCCAAAACTTCATGCAGAACATTCAGGTAGAAAATCCAGACGGTACAGAAGCAACCATCAGTTCAAACTGCTGAAGACCAAAAGATAAACCAGCAGTTCAGAAGCACAGCAACGCGATGCGAGACAAGCAAGTATACAGGCACGTAGCTCTCAGAGGAAATTGCACCACTAAAAACTTCAGTTTACATTGCCGTATCTGAACGGATAACGCACAACCATCCAAAACAGAAGCTTATGTGTTGGTAGCCCTAGTGTAAATCTGTTGGTTAGCATGAGCGGCAACTAGTCTGATGGTGCCCTTTGCCATCAACTCCTTGATGGCCTTCCTTGCCAAAGATCCAGTGATCTGCATTCAAGAATTGACATCCTTTAATAATCCTTCAAGGCACACACATGCGCAGGCTTAACTCATAGGGCTACATAATCTAACATCGATAACATTCTCATGCATATAATTTCCATTCCGTAGTAATCTATTGAACAGGTCCAGCAGAAAGTAGCTCACAGGTAACTTAAGTCGGGAAGCTAATAAACATTCAACGTTTTGTCCAGTAATAGTTTCAAAGTAAGAAATCACGTGATGATTGCAATGCTAACAAAAGATCCAAGACTCAGTTCACAAACGCAATTGTGAACATGCTAGCGATTCGTGTCACACAACCTGAAATTCCTCAGACCTATTCAAACACAAACCCGCACGGGAGAAGGTACCGCGCAGCCTCAACAGAAGATTGCACAGAATTGAACCATAAACTTACACGAAGGCGGTCAGACAACACGGAGGGGGTGACGAGCTTGAACTTGGGCACCTCCGACAGCAACTTATCGTAAGTGGCTTGGTCGAACAAGACCATGTTGTTGACCTTCTCCTTTTGCTTTCCCTTGCTCCACTTCTGCATGAGACAAAATCCAAACGACCATAAGAGAACGCACTGCACATTACCCGATACAACACACACACACACACACACACACGAAAAAAAAAAAAAAAAAAAAAAAAAAAAAAAAGACCTCGCAAACCCTACCACAAACAAGTATGACACAGTACCTTTTTCTTCTGCTTGCCACCACCGCCGCTCTTGGCAGGCTTAGCTGCCTGCGGCGTTTCCTTCTTCTTGGGGGCCATGTCTGCGACGCGCGACGAAGGGAGCAGACACGAATCGAGAGCAAGGGGCGAAGAGGAATGGACAAAGAGGGAGGGAGAGTATCAGGGCGACAGAGTAAAAGGAACCCTCTCCACGGGGGCCAAACCCTAATTAGGTCACCGTCGCCCTCCCACGGGTCTCATCCTCGCCCGTGGACCAACCCGGCCCGATCTTTCGAAGCTTTTACTTTCCAGCGGCTCCTCCCTCTCCTATAATTTTGTGTGCTTAAAAACTTAACCTGTTCTAGGGTTTGATTAAATTATTCACATGTCCTATGAAGGCAACATGGTAATACGTCCTATTCATAAACATGATTCTAAAAAAAAATATGTACTTTATCAACCGTCTTAGGTATAATTTTTTTTTTCTTTCATTTTAAATACAAACTTCTAGTGACTGCCACCAAACACGTGTAATTCTTGCACCCATTTGAGCAGGAGATGATGAATAAACATCACATTTATTTCTTTCAATTAACTTCGAGTTGGGTTTACACAACTTAATCGATGGTGTTAGTTTACACTGAAGAGAATTGAACTTTTGGCTGCACAGTAGAGTTACACGATCAAAGCAAGTGTAAAATTGGTGGTAGATAATCATTGATGAAATTATGGGTTTCGTGAACAAGCATTGTGGCTCTCTGTAAGTAAATACACAAAATTGACATAATATCTTATTCTTAAAATCAATGTAGACCATTATTTATTTTGGCTCGTACTCCCTGGATCATAAATATACTTATTGTTGCATACATAAAAAACATTACAGTGTAAATTGAGGTCAAAAGATGATAGATTACTAGTTCCAAGGCACTTCCGTCGTATTTAAGAGAAAATCAAATCTTTCATGGATCAAAATCATATTTATTAAAATCATGATTGTCGAAGCTACTTCAATGAGAAAAGCCAGTGGCCACGGTTATGCTGCCAATCTTTCAAAACTCTGTCCTAATGTGCGTTCTCACAACTGAAATTAGTGCCTACGCGGAGAGAAAGGAATAAAAATGATCTCTAACTAATAATTAAATCCCTGTAACACATAAGGAAGCAGATATTTATTTAAAACAAAGAGAACCGTACCAACCATATCCGCTAGGGCTCGAAACTAAGGAGAGAATCTGGTAAGAAATGGCATTTCCAGTTCCCTCGTAAGGGGTTATTGGATTCCTCCCTTACTAGGAACGCTTTAATTTTAACATCTTTGTTGATAACGTCTTGAACTCCTAGCTTACGAAGTAAGCTTCAGCCATAACTTCTATGTTTTCTGAAAAGAAATTTTGTATGTCTGAAAGTACGGCTGTGGAGGTTGCCAATGGTTACCACAAAAAGCGCACTATGGACACTGAATAAACCTAGCTGTTTTACCTCTTCTTCTCGGTTCTATTCAAAGAAGAGAAGAATCCATCTCCTACGTTAAATTCCAAATTAAAGTATGCCCCTAATATGTCACATCTGAACACTCATACTGACAACAAGATGATCTCTATTTACTACAAACTACTGATGTGAGGTAATGGTACACCTATCTGAAAGGGTCCTCCAGGAGTTCACCTTGACGATTCAACTGCTGATAGCTGCTATCCTTTCATACACCTTTGCCAAAAACTATTGATCCTAATATCCTTGATTACAAACAATTTAATCAGGTAATCAAAGAGAATAAAAAACACAATATTTTCTTCATTTAGCAAAGCACAGCATCTAGCTATTCGCACAATACTACCAACCTAAAGTATTACTCGAAAAGTAGCTACAATCATGCAGCCGTCTGTAGCATTGCGATACTTCAAGTATGGAAGACTTCACAGATGTTGCCTGAGATTGTTTTAGCTCCAAAAAATCTAGTAATGAATCATGCTCCTGAAGCAGTGATCTTAGTCCAGAACAATCTTCCTCTCTTGCTATAAAGATGCAAGTTTCAGAAGACCAAAACCCAGCTCTTCTACGTCATTAAGGAGCCAATATTGTTAAAGACAGACAAAAAATAAAGTATACCTGCCAGAACACTTCAATACAAGTGAGAAGTCACATCTGTACATAACATACATTGAGGTTAGACATACCTGAACTTACCAGTCTACACCTTTGGGCAAAACCACCAAGTTGGCAGCTGTTCCGCTGATGTCTCTGCATCAAAGGTCAAAACCTGCTATCACATACTGCACAAAGTTACACAAGCAATGAGACTTGTGTAGACATGAGCAGTGACCACAGGCACCGACTCTTGTGGATACATGTGACAACCCAGACAGAGCTGTTCATTCCAAGACGGTCAAACTTTTCAAAAAAACAAAAACAAAAACAAAACCCGAAAAATAGAACTCAAAGAAATAATAAACCCCTAAAACATGGGCCCAATTTCTAAGTGAGAATCGATCATGGTCCTCGATCATCGAGGGCAGTGTATACATTGTGAACATGTTGATAATTTTCCAGAAAGTTCTACCGTCAGTTGAAGAAAGGGCCCGCTAAATAAAGGGATTAATTTCGAACTTCATCATCCAGAAAGACCGTTTGAAATATCTTCTGTGGTTCTTCAAACACTAGAGATAAGTTTAAGGCTGACCAATGTTAAGATGCGGAATAATCAGTCCAAGGTCAAGGGGAACAGGACTACAAGTTTATCCACACAAAACTTGTGCTGTAATGCTCAGAGTATGAGGTGGTAAAAGCTAGTCTAAACATCATTACAATTTGAAGTCTTCTTTTCTAGTACTAAATGAGGGTCGCATAAGTACATAAATGGCCAAACCATTCACAAAACTGGGACGCCACACACGCAGTCCATGTGGTCAAACCGTAGTGTCTTCAGACTGGCTCTATAAATAACAAGGGGTGACAAGGTTAAAAAAGAGGGGGAAGAATAATTCACGCAACTAAAGTGGCCATACTTCAAGCGCTATTGCTATCCTAACTAACATGCGGCACTACACCCAGGAAGAAGTCATTGTGTAGGAAGGCCGGTAAAATCAAACATGTGCAAGTAGGCCAAGATGGCATCTACATCCAAGTGGCAGGGCACAAGAAAGGCGCTAAAATACCTAAGCTGCGATATATCACAACAGAATGATCCCATGCAGTATCAAGGACGCCAATTCCTCCTAAGCAGGCTGAATCAAGGGAAGGGTCTGAGTAACACTTCATAGAGTGTGGGCACAGCTCGGCTCCTCTCCTCTCTCACTGGTATAGGTGGAGGCAGGCTTGGCTGGCAGGCTTCGACATGTAGTGTGGGTGGTGATGGTCTTTCAGGCTCCAGGATCATCCGCCAGGCTGCTATAATAGCATGACTGTTTTTAGGACCGGGAGAAAAGAAGGCACCACGGGTTGAATCAGCATCTCCCTAACTAACCAGGGTTGTCTATATCAGGAATTCGAGGACATTTGTTAAGCACCTGAATCAACGAGATGTTCAACGACTATACAGCACGTGTTTGCAAAAATCTCTCAACATTGCTAATAGAACCCACCCCTCTCAACATCTCTCAACATTTCAACAGGTCTTCGCTCCCGTCTTCAATTAAATTCTTTTTAGGACTTAATCATATCAGATGTAACCCAGGTCGGACTTTTCAGGGCACATCATACGAAACCATTAAATCGTCAAGTAGTTTACACACCTTACTGAGCCAAGTCAGGCGAGAGATACTTAAGAAGGAAGTATACCACCACCACCCATGGATGACTGCATGTAGGCTTGCACCAAACTCTGAGCAGCATGAGTTTGATCCTGCGTTCCAGAAAGTTCTAGCACCCGATCTTTTGCACCCTGTTCACTGTTGTGCAGTTTCACCTTCGCTCCAGAAATCTAAAGAACAGAATGCCATGTCATCAAAAGCGGAAATATCGAGAAATACCTCATTGCACGAAAAAATATCTCCACTGTGCTGTACATTGACAACTCCGCGCCAACGGAACTCCGAGCAGCACTGTAATAAGAAACAAGCAGAACTGAAGCGAATAATGAGATGGTCCATCACATGCAGGTGAAGAGTACAAACCTGCCGAATATGAGCGATGTTGCTGCCACCCTTGCCGATAACTGAACCGACAGAAATGTTAGGAATATGAACTTCGATGGTGGACATCGTACCTAGGCTTGTCCCGTGACTGCCTATAGCTCTGTTCCCGCCTCTGCGTTGTCATGATACCATAACACTGTCATTTAATCACTGATAATTCAGGGCCATGAGTACACTCAGCTGAACAGGCTTCAAATTATGGTTGTTTCTTCTTGTCGGGGATATAAAAATAAGGGTAGTTACCAAGCGGGTACTTTAAGGGGTGTGATAATTTAAGGCACTTTAGTTAAGCAGAAAGTGAAGGGTATACATATTGGCCTTGGATAACTTCAGGCTCCAGGTCTTAAGCATACCTACCCTCCAAAACCTCCTGCAAGTGGTTGGATCAAGTGCGAAGGGCCACCACCAAAGCCAGAGAGGCTACTCAATCCACCACCTCCCTGAGACGTTTCAGGAGTCAGAAATAGAGTGTTCCTCTAATCTTTAAAATAGAGCACATATTCACAAATTCAATGTTTAAGGTCTGCTCTCATGAACTATTCAAATCCAAGGCCTAAAAGCCCTTGATTTAAAAAGATCAGATATGATGCCCTGCTTGTTCAATGCGAGGCTTAAGGCCCATGTGCCAGCTAGGTATACTCCCATTTCACTTGTTTTCTGTTCATAGAATGGAGGAAAGCACAACCAGAGGTGTGCCTGGAAGTATGACTAGTGACTGGACTTATGGTATTGAGTTCAGGCGCACTTGGTTTTATAAATTGTTATCCTCCCTCCAGAGCAGAGCAGGGTAAATTCAGATTAGTAAAGTGGTTCTAAATATCTCAACTAAATTGCTTCAGATCAATATCACAATACAAAATTCAACTCACCCCGATGCCCCACGCTTCTGGAGGAGAAGCGAGACTTCCAAAGCCAGAAGACGAATGAATCGCTCCCGAGATACTCATCCCAGGTAATGAGAAAACGCCTCCACGCGTCGACCTAGATTCCATCCTACTACCAAAGTCGTACGAGCTGCTGTAACTTTCTCTTGACATGCTTAGAGGAGGCATTGAATGTCCAAAATCGCGACCTCCACCACCGCCTCTCCCTGTCTCGCTTCCACTTTCTCTGAACGCGTTGTTGCGCAACCTGCTGATAACTTGAAAAAGTGCTTCCCGTGCCACGGTTGTATCACCCACGATCTGCATTTCATAAACATCAATATGATTTTCTCGTTTCTTTCGATGACCGAAGCGACTACGTCTCACATTCGCCAAAGCGCTGATATAATTAAAATAGTAACACTCATGACAGATATAATCTATTTTAAAATCTCTGCTTAACTTAGGCAAGAAGCGGCTGTGGAAGTATTCTAAAAGTATATTGATATGACCACATAAACACAAGTGCATAAATTTACTTCAATCAATCAGGAATCACACATCCTTGCCGACGAAATCTAAATATGCATTACTTTCGGCAGCGTGTCAGATGGAAGCCTCTAGCGCGACACATCACATGCAATGCACGAGTACATGAATGCGGATCCTACAATACCTGCACAAGCTCGTCAGTATCTAGAGCACAACGAGGCAGAGTATCTTTCGGAAGAACGCGAATATTAGCCCGTGTGGCTCTCCGCATATCCTCGATGATGCTTCCTCCCTTGCCTAGTAAACATCCGATTTGGTTGGTGGGCACAAGAAGCCTAGTAGTAATTATTCCATCCTTGTCTCCCCCCATCTCAGCGGTAATCCTACTCTGCACCTGAATCATAGCCTCGAGTGCAGGAGAGAAAGAGTCCCCCGGAAGCTGCGGCGCAGGTTCCAAAATTAAGTAGAATAAAAGACAAGATCTAGTGAGCCGTATTCAAACTTCAACGAGGCGTGTATGTGAGTCTTTTTTCTTTTTCTGTTTCTATTTCGTTTTAAAAATACGTCAAAGATAATCTCAAAGTGCTTCATCAAATACCAATCAATCTCAAAAGAGCACTGTCATTTAACAACCTCGTCAGAATATATCAAACCTTCATCAGATAGGAAAATTAATCATTTGTCCAATTTATTTAAGCAATGTGAAACTAAAACATGAGAAACATATTTGATTCAGAATCCACCACTAAAGGCAAGGCTTGAACCGAGTGATATGCAGTAATCACAACAGGTTGTACCTCAAGGGCTGATACGATGATAACACGTTCATCAGAACCAGGAACTGCATTAGCAATCTTAATGCGGGCCCCCGTATCCTTGCGCAAGTTGTGTATGATGCTACCACCCTTCCCGATAACGCTGCCAATCTTGTCACTAGGACAAAGAAGACGAAACACAAGCTCATTCTCCCCGGAATCGCGTCCCTCCTTGCTGCGCCTGTTATCTTGTCGGTCCAAAGACAAGTTCCCGCTGCTGATGGTCCAACTGCGTCCTTCCAGCGGTTCTGGTCCAAGTCCGAAAACATGCCCAGTTCCCTTACTGCGATAGGAATCTTTAGCTAAGTAGTCAGTAACTGGTACAAAGGCTGGAGCAGGAGCAGCATAGGACTGTGGTCGATCTCGAGGAGGATTCTCTTGTAATCGAGCGGAAATGAAAAGCAAAGCTTTCTTCAGAGTAGAAACATCTCCAGAAACCTGTAATAACATGCACACCTTGATTACTTTTAACCACTCGACCAGATAGATACTGCCTGCATTGAAGAAGAAAACAATGGAATTCAGCATGATTCCAAATCATGCAACGCTATGCTTTTACGGAACGCAAAACAGAGCCATGGTAAAGTACAATAACTAGCTGGTCTAAGCTATTAAACGTGCGTCAATAAAAGTGCAAACTCACCTGAACAAGCTCGTCCGTCGGAAGGGCACAGCCGGGAAGCTGGTCTTTAGGAAGAACACGAATCTGAGCACCAGTGGTTTGTCGCATCTGCTCTATGATCTTGCCTCCCTTTCCAAGCAGACATCCAATTTGATTGTTGGGAACAAGCAGCCGTGTGACAACCTGTTGACTAGGCTCTTCCTCCTGATCAGACCCATCGATCCCTGAAGTCTCAACATCCGCAATTATGCGAGCATGGACCTTGAACAGAGCTTCTTGAGCAGGTGTCAGCTCCTCACTATCTCTCTGAGCGGAATCTCTTTCAGTATCTTTCTTGTCCCCCTCCTTCCCCCCATCTCTCTCTCTTGATCGACCATCCCGTCCTCTGACACCAGACCGCGACTCTCTGCCACTCCCATCCTTCCCTCGCCCTCTGTCGTTTCCTCGATCTGTAGAAGAGATAAGAATGACTCTCTCATCCACTCCAGGTATGGCATCTGCAATTTTGATTTTGGCACCAGATTCTTGGCGTAACGTTTTGATAATACTTCCTCCTTTGCCGATAACGCTACCGATCTTCGGAGCAGGACACAAAATGCGAAAGACTACATCATCGGCCAAATTAGCAGCCACCATAGGCAATGGAAGGTCGCGAGATACGAATTGACCACCACCTAGTTCCCGGCTGCTGTAACTCCCTTCATTCCGTCGCTTTTGCCTACCGTTTCGGTCTGGGAAATCCCCATCATACAGCGGATGAGGCCGCTTTCCATTGTAACCCCTGTCCATTCTGGCTGTGTTCCCAAACCAAACGAAAATTCTAATACTGCTGTTTCAAAAAATATGAACACCTCCTGTCCTCGCAAAACACACCGATAATGATTTCAATAACGACAAATAAAACCTTCCAGTCTTTTGTAGAAACAGGAGCTGCACAAAAGGCAGAAGACTTTTCAAACAAGCTAAGACAGAGAAGAACTACGCACACAGAACCTTCTATCCAGTAAAGAACTGAAAAAAACAAAAAAAACGAGCAAACGAACAAACACTTCTCGGAACTGACAAGTTTTAGTGCCAACTAGTCCGAAACGAAGGCCAAGACTAGATCATTAAAATAACGCAAGGGATAAAATTTAAGCCCTTGAACTACTACCCTAAACCTTAAATCCGTATCATCAACTCATCACACCCATTCAGTAGCCACCATGGCCATTTAAAACCGCGATTTCATAAAGACCAAAACCTCGCCATGTCGCTACGCAAGACACACTCAAGCCAAAACTAAGAACTATGAGCAGAAAACACTGCTAAGCCGCACCTCACCGCACTGTATCACACCGTAGCCAGCGCGAAAAAGAAGGAAATAACAAAAACAAAACAAATGTACTCTTGGAAGTAAAGAATAATATTTCTTAAAAAATAGAATAAAAATAGAAGAGTGTAGCCACAACACCGAAACAATTTCAAAACGTTCTCGCGAACCTTGCCATCGGCAGCGCTCGATAAGAAAAACAACAACCGTGACCAGAAACAACAAAAGACTAATCTACCCCTCATGAATTCGTCGAAAACTTCGCACACCGAACTCCGACTTTCGCACTGCGAATTACCGGGGGAAAAAAAAAAAAAAAAAAAAAACGTACAATTCGAAAAAGCAACTAAGGCCAAAATCCAACTAAGCCCTAATAAAAGCCGAGAAACTTCCAACTCCTCAAACGCCAAAACCTCAAGCAGTCCCCCGAAATATACATTCATTTATTTATTTATTTGCGTTAAGTGCGTAAAAAAAACACACCACAAAAGCACGAATGAATCACGAGTACCGCTTACAATATTACGAAACCCTAAGGCTTCTTCAATATTCGATATCGCGGAGCCCTGGTCATGAGCGAAGGCAATGCAATGCTAAGCCCCCAGGGTTTGTCCACAAGCGCGTGGAAGCCTTCGGTAGAAAGAGGAAAGGGACGGGGAAGGGGGAGGGGGAGAGTTCGTTATTAGTCCGTTAACAGTTGGTTACAAAAACTGGACAGAATGAAACAATATAAGAACCTCCTCCTCTGGCTCTCGCTTGCTTGCTCGCTCGCATTCTCGGTGCGAAGAAAACGAAGGAGCGGGGCAAGACTGAGTAAGGGCGGAGTAGCGGAGGAGGGAGGCACCGGGGGAGCGGGAGTGGGGAGTGATGCGGTCACCGGGTTCGCTTCTGGACGAGGAGCCCCAGCTCCCGAATTAGGGCTGAGCCCACGGTGACCGCCTGCGCCCGTGGCCCTTCTTGTCATGGGGGAGCTCCTGGGTCCCCAAGACCCTCCCTCGGTGATTGGCCCCAGTCCACGAGCCAATTTGTGGTAAATGAAGGCATTGATTTAATTTAGTGTTTCTGTAATTCACACACGCATATTCCAATGTGAGTGTGTGTATGTTTATGTCTGTTTATTTATTTTTAATAAATATATGTAGAGAGATGAATATTCATAAAAGCATTTGTGTGATTATTTATGATATGTGCTAATTATGTGCAAAGTACTCTTGTTAAGTAAAAAGAAAGGGAACATAGCGACGTACATATATTGTGCTAAAAGAAATATAGGAAACAAAAATAGTAGTTAAATGCATGGAATTGTTGAAGTACGTCATTCAGTAAAAAAGTCTGAGTTGTTTATTTTTAGCAGAACATGATTTCTAAATCAAATCATTTTCTGATTAGCCATTTTTGGATATATTTTTTTTAGTGTACTATGGTGGAATTAATAATTCTGTGGTTATCAATACAAAGTTTGTCTACAAGTTTTAATACTCAAATCGTATAATTGAAATTTGTGTTTTGTTTAATTACAACCAAGAAGAAAAAATAATTATAGATTGAAAAGGTAAGAGGAACTTATCAGTACATATGTTGTACAAGTAATAGGAAAAATAAGTATGTAACATTAATAATGTCACATCAATGTGTGCAATGATGAAAGTTTTGAAAAATAAAATTCATAATTTTGGATGTTACAGCAAAACTCCCAAAGAAGTTAAAAAAACATACAAACGCTATGGAATTTAATAAGATATTGTTACTAATACTAATTCCGTTGACATTTTATCATCAAACAGAAAAATTTGTAAATAAATGCATTTGGTGTAATAAGTCATTGTGACTAATATTTTAATTATTAGATTCTTTAAAAGTCTACAAAATTAAGGTGGTAAATTTTAGAGATAGAAAATCGAATTCCTTGTATTGATACCTTGTTGGATGTCAATTTTGACAATAATCAAAATAAAGGAAATTATAATACTTTTGAGTATACAAGAGATATGTAACATATATGTGCAAAATTTAATAATTATTGCAAGAAAATTTATGTCTTTGTTGCATATAATTTGCGTTAGTCAGAAATTGAACAAATTAAATGATCACCTTTAGGGCTTACAATACTTGCCATATATGTTTTGTCGATGTGATGAATACTACTATGAACGGTCAATACTTCCTATTTATAAAAAAAACACAGATTTTTAATAAAATCTATTCAGCTTGTTGCAAATGTCTAGTTGATATTTTATTAGCCTAATCCAAACTGCAACTTCATTTTAATTGTTTTCAAAATTCCATTTTAGCATGTTGAATTTTCCTCATGAAAGTTGCTTTGAAAAATACAATCAATTTACTTTGCACTTCTAAAGCACTAAAAATATATATATATATATATATATATATCCCTTACTCCATTGTACATCCCTAATTACACCTGTTTTCAAATTTGGATTGAACAATTAAATCAAACTTCCTGAAACCGTGATGATTTTTTTCGCTGGAATGAAATGAATTAAAATAATAACATGACCGTTTGTAAATGGCTGTAAATCCAATCTGTGTAGTTTCCTTCCTATCAAAGGTAGTTTCAGAGGATCTAGCTAGTTTTTTTTAGCTTCCAAAACTTTCGCTAAAAACAGATGAGCTCATTATCCTTTCATAAGAACCACGAATTTTAATGGATTTGGTGCGTAACTGCGGATGTTGTATATATTTCTTCTGCCGGATCTGGTCCTGCTTTGCTGGGATATCAGAGCAGAGCAGGAGGTCCTGTTTGTCTATGGATTTTTTCACCGATACAGGAGATCCTTGTCGTTCTAACCCATTTCTGCCGAAATGCATCCGAACCTGGAATGTAGCTCTGGTGGGAGCCGAAGCCTGTGCTGAGATGCAGAAGCCCTGCAATTCAGGAGGACGGCATTCAGATAGAGAGCGCAACTTTGTCTACAATTCGGGAGTGGGCTCATTGCATCACCTCGGATAGTCATCACCAAGATACACATCGTGTCACGTGCTGTGAGTGAACACTTCTTCAGTTTACTGCTTTAGCTTAAGGATCAGGTTCACAGCTGATGTGGATAGAGTACTCCCGAGCGTATCCTTCATTCCAGAGCTGGTAGATTCTTCAGAATAGTGGCTTTTTTTCTTCTTTCTGAACGAAGGATGTTGTGGGTGGAAGGATCGACCTCAGGAGAAAGAAGCTCCACCTTATTGCAACGATGGATGACCACATGATTGAAGCGATTCTGCAAACAAGGAGTTTGTTGGCGGCTGCATTCAATAGAGCTCTTACCATGAACTGGTCACGTATGCAAGCATCCATCCAGTAGGGGACCCACACTCACTGGGTGCATATTCTATGGAAGAGTAGATTATTAATGTTTGTTACACGCAAATGTGAGGAGTTCTTATCGAAGTGGCTCAGACGGGCTGCTCACAGCATTTGCCTCTCCCATTCGCACTAATGATAAACCAGACGCCTCCGCAGATCGTTAGTTGTCACACTCTCGAGGTGTCGAGGAGGATTCACAAAGTCGCGGTAGCGGATTCCCCACATATACATTTGGAGAGGTCTCAGACTCTGGAACGACGACAAAATAGCTGGATATAGCCTTCCGAAAACGCTTCTTATATTCTTGCGGATGAATAATAGTTGGTGATGTGTTCCTCGGCCCTCCCAGGATGCCAGATACCTTCACCCAAGTTTCAAGGTGCTTGTCCCACGTATATTGCCGAATGTAATCGATGATTCCTATCACTAGCTCTTGACTGTCTTCTACCACTGCAGCTAATAAGGAGTAATCCATGACATGGACCCTTGCGAGGAAACTGGTATCGTTGTAAACAGCCTGCTCCAGCAAAAACTTTGATTTCTTGGTCATAAAAATGGGACTTGTTGGCATTTCCTCAAGCAGGTTCTGGTCCAGCAGTGGGCCTGTGATGTCTGAATTGTAGCGGGATCTTAGAGAGCCTTTTAGATCGTACATACGGCTGATCGTCTTGCCATAGGTCAAATTCTCCATCACTAGCAAATCCATATCTTTTTTTTCATACCCGCTTTTCACACTGACGGTATAGAAACCCAGTATTTTAGCCAGACAGGTTGGACTGTCTGAGCTCATTGTTTCCCAAAGATATCTGAAGTATTGAGGAGCAAATTCCAAGAAAGAGTGCTTCTCAGATTTGGACACCTGCTTCACAATGAAGCGGTCATCAAGAGTCTTTGCAAAGTACGCTTTGCTCTTACCACCCCGGGCGCCCCATGCCTTGCATCTGCTCAGAGAGCGAATGTATTCCATCTCACCCCCACAGCATTTTGCTCGAAGTGCAATAAATTGTTTGACATAATAGCACTTAACTTTAAATTCGGTCCTCGGAGTATCGTCGTTGTCTGTGAACCGCACCTTCACAGTGAGAGGAGTTGGGGAGACCAGTTCTTCAGCAATAGTTTGCTCTTCCACCGTTCCACTCGGAGTAGCTAACCGATCCAAAGGTGGTGTTGTATTTCGCAAACCCTTGCACGCCACATCGCCGACAGAAATCCCATCCCACAAACCAGTACTTCCCTCCGAGTCCTCGCCGTAGTCTTCGGAGGATTTTTGAACGGGATTTAGAATTTGTTTGTAGTAATCGGGGGACGTAATAGCACACGCAATCACACTTGTAGGCTCGTCCTCAAAAACTGCAACAACTGTGCCATTGATACCTGAAGGTAGGCGGACCCTTGCAACTCCATGAAGGAAACAATTTAACGCTGCCGAAATCATTTCCTTACGGATGACAGGCACGTCCTCGACAGATAATTGATAATTTTTCAATCCTGAATTAGATCTCAGTTGCTCAGGATCCTCCGAAAGTACTTCTGAGCTCGGTCCTTCTAAACCTAAGACAGGTCGGTTATCAGCCTCTGCAACTGCGGTTGCAACTTTTTGTTAACGACACAGTTACTGGGCTGCCATTGATTTCCAAACCTGCAGCGCTTCCTCCATACTGCAGTCAATGCAAATACAAGCTCAGAATTCTCACCGGGCTGTTCCAATTGTCATAATTAATCCAAGGTTGGCGACTCAGTTGCTGAAAATAACCTTCTCGGGTAAGCAAAAGATTACGCCGTGATGGCTCAGTCTCCTTCACTTTCATGCCCATCAGGTGTTGCTGCTGTTTCTGTTGGCGTATACTCTTGAAGTATGTATTGAGAAATTTAACCTGTCTCATCTAATAACATTCCACCAGAATAGTGAAACTGACATAATTGACCAGGAATCACCAAACCACTGACAGAAATCTGTTACATCTCTACTGATTTGTCGCTCTTAACACGTTCTAACTCCGAAAAAAGTTCTGCAGTATCGTCCTTTTCGTTAACAATAAGCGCAAACCCCCACAGAACGTCATTCCACAAAACTTTAAGAACTAGAGTAAGGACTCCGTTACTCTCAGTAATACAGGAGGAATTGAAAATGTGATGTGGTCAAGTAAGAAAGTACATTTATTTTGAAAACACCACCATTGGTCAACTCATAAACAGGTGTTTCATGCTTAAAAGCTTAATTGATAGTTCAAATATTGAAATTTATCTTCATGAAATTTTAGATGCCAATTCTAACCTCAACTTCGTCGTTATTCACCATGCAATCTCTCTAATTTCAATAATCGAGACATGTCTGTCTTCAACCTAACTTTTTCATCGACCTGGGGGCTACTGGATTAAAGCTTTCAATAATCCCAAGATTGTTCAACCAAGAGAGGTGACACTGGCAAGATCTGTGGCCAAAATATTGCTCATGCCCTCAATAACACTTGTACAGACAAACCAGCCATTCTCTCCGGAGCAGATCAGACACATCAACATAAATAGACTCGAAAATGCGGCCACCATCGACTGCTTGATGAATTTAGCTGTACACAATTTTTCATACTTCCCAATTGATTTATTGCTTAAAACTCGAAATCTTTCATATACCTGAACCAAGAGTCCTGTATTGTAGCTTCGCAAAGCTTGAATGCCTGCTCATATATGTCACAGGATTCAGACTTTAGCTCTGCGAACTGCACAGCACATCATAGAAACGTCATGACTTCTTAGATACATAGTCCGCGAACCTGATCACAAATACACCTAATCAATATGCCAGGGATTTTCTTTCACGCAATACGCTAAAAATACACCAAATATCATCCTTGTGCTTTTTAACGAGATGTAGATTTTTTTAACTAACTAATAAAGAGGAACAAAAAAAAACAAAAGTCCTTGTGTAGACTACTTGTCATCTTCAGACACTCTAAAAGAATAAAAGATGCTTACAATATTGCTATGCTTGTTTGCAGCTTCAGCAAAGAATCACCTATGAAAAAATCGATATAGATGCAACTTGATTTACCAATAACACAGGAAAAATAAATCTGTAACAAAATATTCCCCCGTTACGAGAGGCCGAATTTATCAAATATGTCGATTTGTCATGACTTGTAACCAAAGAACGAACTATTAAAAAAGGTTTATAGTACACCCAGGCATACAGGTTGCTTGATTCACGTGATAATTCAAACTACGGCCACGTGATCCTAGGAGTTAACATATCTGAAGAATTCGTTTACGTCAGTGGTGGCCGATTAGGAAGACAATCCCAAATGCTCCAGGAACGGCAGTTCCCGATTGAGATACACGTAAATTCACAAGCACTCCAACTCTACAACGAACTTGTACACAACTCCAGCCACGATTTATCTGGCTAAGTTTGAACCTGTCAGGTCTAATGCTCGACACATTACAGTCGGAGCCCAGCCAATACTCTAATTTTGAAGGAACCTGAAAATGCTTATTAAAGAAGAAGAAGCCACTTGCCAATACTAACAGTAAATAACCATTTAAAGTCTAACACATGCTGAAAACGACAAGTGAAATATCCCGGTTGCTACAAGATACTAACACAATCATACTAACCTCGCATCATGCCGCCGAGGCCCCTTACTAAAGTGTCACATAACAGTGCCTTGCCTCGCAGCATCGACTCTGTACAAAACACCTCCTTGTGTCCTCTTCTCCAGCGTGTCTCAAACGCCCTAAACTGCCCTCTCCAAGCCGCTCTGCTTCTCCCTCATGATAAAGCCCGCACAACAATCGAAATTCCACAATTCAAGGAATGTGTAATTGAGAGTATGACAATTTCCAACACACCTCAAGAAAAGCGCGCTCAGCCGCCCTCACTCTTTCTAAAATTGGCTCAGCTCCTTCTCTGCACCAGGTTCCAAAAAAGGCCCAGACGTACAAACCTCGACGCTAGCGAGTGATTCGCAACTGAAACGAACGTGTGCATCTCACAATTGATGCACTCCCTGCAAGTGAGAATGCGGCGAAATCTTGGTGCTGCAGCCAGCCAGCCTCCCAAGCAATCACTCTTCGTTCATGCCATCTCGTTCGTCGTCTACACCAGCGCGCAGACGTCAGCTTCAGGGACGGACGTAGCCCCCGTTGGAGGACGTCGAACGGCGAAAGCCATCCGACGGTGTGATACGACGAGTCCTTTTCGGGTTCTGTTGATGTGGATGAGTAGCGACCCCTTTAGTCGGTCCACATGTCACATATAGTGTCCACGTGGAGCCTACGTGGACACGCTCCAAGCGCTTCATGGGTTTTTGTAATGTTAAACTTGTTCCTCTTTGGCAGACAAGTCGCGTCGACTTTTAGCTTTATAAGAATGTTCTTCGATTCCGTTTGATATTTTTTTAACATTTCGCAATGCAAATCTGCCATGTTCGACAGACCTCTTCCGTTTCTCTCCTAGGATTGCGAGACATGCAGAATATGCACCATAACAGGACTTTAGGGGCCGCTTCGTTGTGGATCACCAGTGGTGTCATGGTAGAGGACAATGTGCGCCATAATTTACCCTTCAAACTGATGTTTTCTGAAAAGTCCAGATGTAATCGTCAAGGAAAGAGTTAGCTTTAAGAACCTCGTTTGACAATTTGCGCTTACTTTGTAAACTTAAAGCATTAGCACTCCTGCATGCAAATGTACACAGCAATCGTGACCATCTGAATCCAAGCGATGGAACGCAACTAGCGCCATGGTAGATGGGTGTGTTTTGGAGATGGTCTCTGCACATGAATTTCTGATGCGATGTTTCAACTAGCTTGTGATCCATCACTCCCCCTCCATGCCAAAACATATTGTCATGGCAGAAGTGCAGCAAATTGAGAATACGATGAAGGCCTCGTGAGGACATCAGCGATTTGCTTACGAGAAAGAGCATAGAGTATCATAATTTCATCAAGAGTTTGTTTCTCACAAACTGCATGGTCCTTTACATCAATGTGTTTGTGATGCGTCTATGCTGCACATGACTATGAGATAAGCGGATGCTAGAAAGATTGCCGGAAAAGAGATCCGTCGGTCAGAGTTGAGGATTGCCAATAACGGGAAGAAGGTGACGACTCTAGATAGTCTCTTTCGTTGCCATGCAAGCAACAGAGTGCTCAGCATAAACTGTAGGGGGACTTCTGGTCACCAAAATCAGAAGCAAAATTTGCATTACGATATCCATATACTCGGTTCTTAATGGTGGAAGAGAAGTAGAGAATAACAATCCAATTGGTATACTTGTGCAACGGAAAACCTTCTTGACAGTTGTACAACTAGAACGAACAGGTGCGTCCGTGAGTTTGGCAGAAGCACTCATCCCAAAAGTGACGTCGCCGCTTGAACCAAAAACAACAACAAATCGTAGGCTGCCGATAGCTTACCCTGTACGGTAGAGCTGGGATTCCACTACACTTGCAGGAATCATGTGCATCCAAAGAAGTGGATTTGGTCAGCTGGAATACCGACGGGATTGGAATTCAAAGATTCGTGAGTCCTCAACATGCGCTCACTGTAAAGCCACCGACTAACGGAATATGTCCGACAAAGGTAGTTGCGTGTGGTGCTCAATCCGACAAAAATGACAGGAGTGCTGGTGATGTTCTCAAACCAACCATCTATCGCAACCAAGCTTTGTTAAATCTGACAGGAAGATGAAGAGGAAATTTAGCATTCATTCACAAATACCTGGCAACATAGCACGAAGAGGCGTAAAGGTAGGTTTCACCTGTAACATGAAGACCATAATCACGCAGAAAATCATGGAAAAAAGTGTTCTGGATGCATAAAGCGTCTCGAACAACAAGAATCGATAAATCCAGACGATAAACCCAGTCAAGATGATCAGAATTGATAAAAACCGGGGGGATAACCTCTCGGTGATCCTCCCATGAAGAAAAAACCCTCCTGGATGTGAAATTGGCGCATTTCAAGATCTTCAACGGCCGCAGTGGACTTCAAAGGGAATAATCGATACAAAAGGTGTCTAAAAAATCAACGAACGCTTTGCTTGGTAAATCCTTGTTGCCACGAGACGAGACTTGTTGTTACTGATTCCATTTCAGGGTTAGACTTCCTTGAGTTTGTTCCTCATCTTTTAGGGTTTCCTTTGGGCATTCTCATCCCCAGTGACAAATTCCGCCACCCATTTCAGAGATGCATTTCATTCTGGTTTGATCATAACAGGGCTTGATGTCGCTTTCTTTTTGTGATAAATTGACATAGAATCCATAGTTTTTGCCACAAAAAGAACTTCAGTCACGTTGCGTCAATCCATTTTTGTGGAATAGTATTTCCAGAATGGTCCTAATATTTGCAAAGTCAACATATTCATGTTAGTGCTTTACTGACTTTTATTATATCAATTATAAGTAGAGTTAGTATTGAACTAACTTTTGACTATTCTTTGATGCTTTGAACTTGATAGAGATATTGCCATTTAAATTATACCATATTAATTAATAGTAGAGATATTTCCATTTAAATGTATTTTAATATAATACAAGAGTTATATACATGTATATATATACATAGATAGATCGATTTTCATTTTTTAACTCATTTACTTATTCTGTTTGAATTTATCAAAGAAAACTTTAATATTACAACACAACAACTTGTTTGAATATCACTAATTTTTTTGGTAAGCATATGCTATTATCATCCTTCATTAAAATAACCCTTTTAGTTGAATATCAAGTGTAATTTGTTTTACTTCTAAGTTGTAATCTCCAGCACTTGTTTTTTTCAAATTTGATATACATTTATGTTCCACTGTTTTTACTAAGCTTGTGCACAAGACAATACAGCTTTAAGTTTGTAGCATTTATAATAGATATATTCAAAAGTCAAATTTTATTGCCATAAATCTTAAAAAGTTCATATTTTGTATTAGTAATGGTTGCTCAAATGATTTAGTTTTGCCACAACTACATAAAATCTAATGCATTATCACTGTTATGTTTGTTCTGGATAAAATCCTTTTCCCAATAAAAGTTTTAGAAATTTCTTTTGTACTTATGTTATTATTTTATATAATTCACTATATTAATTTGTAAACTAAAGTTATGTGTATATTTTAACTCTACTCAATTATTTACTTTCTTTTCTAGAAAATTTATGAAAGTTATAATTTGTAACTTTAATTGTTTACTTATCCATATTCACATCAATCCTTAAGAACAAATTAGATAATTGAGTTTACTTTTCTTCTATCTGAACAGTGGAGAATACTGCATGCAATCTTGTAATTTGACTGGTGCAAGTCTGAAAAACAGAGTTGACTTGGCATGGAATTTGCACCTCTTTGGCATGTTGACAAGATCACTCTCTACACTTGATGTGCCATTTTGTGATCAGATTCTTCTGCCGTTGCTCATTTTTTCCAGCAAATGTTTGGGTCAAAGCACAACCCACCACTGGGTTCTGGACAAAGCTGAACAAATGAGTCTGTGTTTTCAACAGTGCCCTTTTTGTCATAATGGTCACGTCAGCATAAAACCTGGGTGGGCACTGGGTCCCACTTCAATGCAAAAGCGTAGACTCCCTCCACATCAGAAGAAAATAATATACATATAATTGCATAGAATAAAACAGAAGTCAGTTGAACTGCCACTGCAGCAGCACTGTGATTCTAAAAGCGTTAAAAAAGAAGAGAGTGGAGAGGGGACACGATGAGGCTCTGAAGAGGTCTGCCACGTAGGGAGAGAATGCTTCGAGAGTAATCGCAGGTGGTGCATAGTGTGCTCAATCACAAGTAAAGAAATGGCAAGTAGAACCCGATTCAAGCCTTACTGCATTTTATGTTTACCGTGGCCAAAGGTTTACTGCGGTGGGACAATGTTGCACTTAGGGTTTGTACTCAAGTGAAGGTGGGCTGGTCCTACGATTGTCGGGTTGCGAGGACTGGTGGTCAATACTCGAGATGACGACATATGCGGAGGCACTCAAGGCCCAGCTAGCCCACACCCCAGTGGCCCCTACTGTTTCAAAGGAAGGTCGAGCGGTGTTTGCGAGGAAGCTGATCGCCGCCACGGCAAATGTGGGTGAGTTCGTTGCCATCAACCCGACTCATGCTGCACCAGGTGAAAAGTTAGGAGTTGTATTGGATTCTTGTTAAACACCCAGATAGTAGAGGTTCGTCTTGATGAAGAAAAAGTCAAGAAGGAAATGAAATTTTTGCAAAAATGCATGGTCATAGCATACTTCATGTGCACCAAACTCCTGACAAAAACCTTACAAGATTGGCTTTGGCTAAGGTGCCTAAAGACTACAATAGGTGAGGTACTTCAAATTGATGCAACCTTGGCCATGGTTTCTTTCAAGCAATATGTTGTCGTATTATGTGTTGTTTTGCTCAGGAATGCATCGGGCACTTAGTTGTGGAAGGTGAGATTATATTTCACAAGTAGCCAAGAGATCCTAATAGGTTTCACCCATGCAAGAAGAATATAATCTGAATTTCAATTCAAAAGTGCTTAAAACACTCTTCTTAGTAGTCTTAACCATACATAAATCCCAATTACCTTATTACTTTCATATTTAAGCAATTTAGATTTTTCTTATAAACCACAATCCTCATTAGTGAGCTTTAATAAGCTGTAACATCCAATCCGACTGTCCATTTGATGTGGAATTTTGCATGCAATTTTCAATGTAAGTCTTCTAAATGCTCAAGAATTTTTAGCCAAATCCAACTTATAGCCTGTGAGAAAACGTCCAAAAACTGTACCAATATCACTCGGCTGCCAACTTGAAAAGTGAAGCAGAAATCCCAGCAATGATTTCTCCTTCTCCAACCATTAACTTTGTCTCAAAATTGGTATGTAGTTTGATCTTTAAGTCCTCCAACACCATGTCAATTTTCACCTTAATCCGACTGATAGATCTTCAGATATCATAGAAACCCTATCCAACCTCAAATTGCCATCTTCTGAAACCCTCTTCTGCTAAAAACTAGATATCTCTAAACCACGCCGTTAGATTATCACAAGATTTTGTATACACTTAGCACACCCAATAATCCAAAAAATATCAAATTTTCAATTGTAGATGTCATGCCAATTACACGAACTAGCCAAAATTGTTAGCCCTAATTATATTATATAAAATCCAAATCACTGATACAAACCCTGATTTTGAACAATAATTGCTAAGTCCTCTA